TTAAATGAGAAAGCAACCCCCTTCATTGAGGATGGGCACACACCTCAATCCCTCCTCCATTTCTCCACTTGGGATCTGCAGCACACACACCCATACTCCTAGTGTGTTTCTTTTTTCTTTTCTTTTTTCTTTTCTTTCTTTCTTTCTTTCTTTTTTTTTTTTTTTTTGAGAGTTTTTTGCTATAGGGTACATGGATCACCAAAAAGACAGAGAGAGACAGAGAGATAGAAAGCGAGAAATCACCCCCCCCAGAGGGGATTGTCATGCCACAATCCCTTCTCCTCCATTCTCCTCTTGGGATCTTGGGCACGCATGCACAACAGTGTGAGTTTAAGCCACAGGGTCCAGGACTCAAACCGCGGTCGGTTACATGGGAGTTCAGCGACATAGCCATTATGCTAACTGCTGGTCCCCCAGTGTGTTTCTCAAGTTTCCATGTCCAGAACTCGATCTGTATGGTCAGCCATGGGAGATCCAGTGGTCCTAACCACCACGCCACTGGCTGGCCCCTAAATAAAAACTTTTCCTGGTTTTGCATCCCCCTGATATACCCTGGTTCCCAACACTAAACATAAGTACCAATATTCTTCAGAATGTTTTCCTAAATAAAGTCAAGAATTTCAAAAGAGAAGAACAAAACAAAACAAAACAAAACAAAAACCTCATCGTTCTAATTTAATGGACTTTCATAAATAAGGTTTCCATGATCAAGTGCCTTTTCCTTTTATTTGGCTGTAGGCTGCTTAAGGCTAGGATCTCGACTCACTTTAGTGTCAGAACTGCAGTATCTATTCATTTATTAGAGAGCATACCATGGGATAAATTAAGTCCCTAATACATAATGATGATTTCCAGTCATAGTTTGTTAGACCATGATTAATTCACATGGTGAATGTCATATACCACAAATGTTATAAAAGGTTTCCTGTGAAAATCTTTTAGTAGTAAGATAATATAGAATATTAATAAATACTTCTAACACACAGCTAGAATGTCTAAAGACAGTGAACTGATCACACACTTCACGTATAGATAGAAATGTAGTATTTGACAAGACAGGGCAGGAAAGGCTTTGGCCTGGCTTAATGTGAGGAAGAGACAATGGATGAAGAGGAAGTCATTCATCCTGGTAAACCCATAAAAACTTGAAGTTATCTAGCACATGGAGAAACAAGAATACAGGGTTAAGAACAGAGAGATTAACTAAAAGTTCCTCAAGGAATAGACTATACACCCACTTCCCCAAATTGGTGTGGTAGCCAGGTAGATAACCCCAGGGGGAAAAAGAAAGTCATATAAAAGGTTTGCTAAAGAAATAGAACAAACTATCTGGGGAAAGCAAGAACAGTGGAACTCCAGAAGATGACACACAGGGGCCTTACCCTAACAGCTGGAGTGACACACACTCCCTAAGTCCTGCTCACCTATTCAGAAGAGTTCTTCAGGATGTGTTGTTTGTCTGAAATATAAATGGACACCTTTTATTGAAAGAAATCTATAGAACAACAGAGGTGGGGAAAGATAGTAAATAAAAATATAATCCTTGGGGAAATTTAAATAATTGAGATAATAGAAGGAAACTTTATTTTCAATCTCTAAATTTTATTTTTTGAACGATTTTAAAAGATGCTATATTCACAAAATAAGAACAAGATGATGTGAAAGAAGGCAAGAAAGAGCTTTTGGCCTAATTATGACCATGGTAATATCAATTTATCAGAATGGCTAGACAAGAAAGGCAGAGGGTAGAGTGAAGAATGGAGTCTAAGCAAGTTACCCGAGATTGTTTTAACAAGATAGTAGATACCCTGTCTGTTTACCAAGAAATAATCCTATAAGACAAAGAATACCACGCATAAATTCTATTGTACGGAGCACCATCAAATCCAAGAGAATAATAAAGGTAAACCCTACAGTTAAAATTATACAGGAGGGGCCAGCAAGTGGTGTGGTGGTGAAGGGCACTGGACTCCCACAGGAACAAACACAGTTTGAATCCTGGATCTGGCAGCTTGCTTTCTAACTTTCCCTCTCTCATTCGTGCACGCTCTGTCCCTCTCTGGTCAGATTTACAAATAAGTAAATAAATCAATTTAAAAAGTTAAATCGATCAATTATTTTGAAGCCATACAGAGGAATTTATAGTGTGGAGCCCAAAATCACTACATTTAATCTATACTTAATGGGAAACTAAATAAAAGTATACCATGTATCCATTATTATTACACTGAGATTTTTCTTAAGTGCTGTGTGTCAGGCATTTAATAAGAATTGTTAGAATCTTTCCATTTAACAATGATGCAATGTTTAAAGTAACATTTTTTAAGCTATGAGCAACTAACACAGTAACCAGTAATAGTGATACAATTACATTAAAGGAAAGACTTAAGAGAGAGATAAGGCACATATGAAAATAGGCTGATGTTTCATGAATCAGAAGGAAGTCCAAAGATAATGTTTAAAATTGATAAGTAAAGAAACAGGCAAAAGCATATTCTTTAGAAACACTAGGAGAGAACAAAAGGGACAGAACTCTATGGCTTTCATACACTAAGAACTTCTGTACTGCTTACATTTTTAACCATGTGAATGATTCACTTTGATCCCTTATTTTATTTTTTTTAATTGCCAGGGGGCACATGAGCTCTCCAGAAAGGAAGAATTTCCCAGTGGGATGTGGTTATGCTGCAGTCTTTTTTCCTCTATTTCTCCTTCCCATCAGGATTTTGCATACTTCTGCAGATGTATGCGACATGTTTTTCAAAGTGTCAGGATTTGAACCTGCCAAGTATGTGGGATTTGAATCTCCATCAGCCACATGGGATCCAGCATCTAATGCACTGCACTGCAATGCTCTACTACAAAGCCAACTCTAATCCTTTATTTTAAATTTAGTAAACTTTTTTTTTCTCAAAAAAACTAGCAATCTAACCTGTCCCACTATATCAGACAAGTGAAATTCTTTTGTATTTCAATGGTTTCTGGAGAATGGTGTAATTGTGCAAGGCCAACCAGTCAGCATATCCCGAATTTTTCATTTAATGTTGCATTTGGTAAATTAATATACAGTGATTCTATAAAATACTGAGATACGTATGGTCCCCTCCTGGTAAAACACATAGTCCATAGTCCAAAGACCACTGTTTATCCACCTGTCCCATATTCAATACTCATGTTCTTTTTAAGAACAGAAAGACTTCAATACTGTTCACCAAAAGATTAAGTTCAAGAGAGGAAATTCCTGATACTATCCAACCAAAGCTATTATCATTTCCAACACTCAGCTAGAGCTTCAGAGCTGGTAAGAGTAGTTTAAAAAAAAAAAAAAAAAAAAAGGCTGATGCAACCTAGACAGATATGGCAAATGGTACGCTGAATCCAGAAGCAGACCGTGCATCCTGTCAAAGGTCACAAACCTGGGCTAGGAGCTCAAGCCAACCTACAGACATATTCATGAAGACTGCAAAATATTGGCCCACTCTACATTTCTAATTTTGAAAAAGTAGCCAACCTCTTTAGTAATCTATTACTAAAACTGATAGAATCCATATAAAAATGCAGATGTCTACCTTCTCTCAATGTATCAGTAGAGGCGATTTCCTTAAGAGAGTGTCTCAATTACTGACGTCTATCCTGCTTCCCTCATTTACCTTACTAGTCTGGACCTTGTGGGCCATTTGCATTCTGATCCTTGCTATAAAAAAGATAACACATTGGGGTCCGCAAATGATGTAATAGTTAAGACACTTACTCCCACTCCCCTCCCATATGGCCAACCATGGTTAGAGTCTTGGTCCTGGCAGCTTGAAAAATCATGCCAGGTGCATTTGTGTGTGTGCCCAAAATCCCAGGAGGAGAATGGACTGTGGCATGGCCAATCCCCTGGGAGGTGATTTTTTTTACTTTCGCTCTGTCTCTCTCTATCTCTCTCCAACAAGCGCTCATGCCCTATGGCAAAAATCTTAAAAACTAAAACAAACAAAAAAAGGTAACGTATTGACACTCCTACTCAATGCAAGAGTACATTGGTGACAATGGTTGTCCACTGTAGTGATTTCACAAAGGGGTTAGCAGCTGTAGTGGACAGCAGCTATTCCTACCTAAAAACTGTTTCTAAACAGACAAGTATTTTAAAGCAGTGGATTCTCTTTACTAGGGAATTACATAAGAGACATCAATAGAGAAAAACATATAATTACTGCACATATCTAAAAATTAAAGTATTTCTGTGCACACTTATATGAAAACTTATTCCCTGTCAACTGCTTTACTTTTAATAAATCTAGGATTGAATGACAGATAAGCAAAGTGGTAAATGCCAGTGAGCAATATCAAAGGAGATAACACCTACAGCCAGAAATAAAAACTTTTCTACAGGGACCAGCAGTTGGTGTAGTGGTTACATTGCTGAACTCCCACAGAGCCAACCGTAGTTCAAGTACTGGACTCAAAACTTGAGTCCTGGAGCTTGAAACTTACGCCGGGCACATGTGCATGTGTGATCAAGATCCTGGGAGGAGAATGGAGAAGGGATTGTGGCATGGCCATTCCCCTAGGGGGTGATTACTCACTTTCTCTCTCACTATCTCTGTCTCTGTCTCTCCCTCCAGTAAGCTCATGCTTTTTAAGAGGACAAAAACCTCTTAAAAACAAACATAAAACGGGACAAGCAGATGGTGTAATGGTTACGTTGCTGACTCCCAAATAACCAACCACAGTTCAAATTCCAGACCCAGTGGCTTCAAACTCACACTGGGCAGGCATGCACACGTGCCCAAGATCCTAAGAAGAGAACAGAGAAAAAGGGATTGTAGCGTAGCTGTCTCCCCTCGGGGGTGATTTCTCACTTTCCATCTGTCTCTTTGTCTCTGTCTCTCTGGGAACGCACGTGCCCTGTAGCAAAAATCGCTCTTAAGAAAAATTAAAAACTTAAGTACAAAGTCTAATAACTAACACTATATGTAGTTTGTATATTGAGTAAAAGATCAGTGTTTACTTACATTTTAATGTCTCTCCAGCATAAGGTATGTGCAGTTTAAATCGGTCACAATTGGGCCCGGGAGTCAATGATGTGCAGCTTGGAAAAAATAAAAAACAGAATGAGAAAGAAAAATATAAAAAAAAAAAAAAACTTAAAACATCCATATATTTATAATATGTAATAAAGAAAATCAAAAAGGTCATTTTTACAGACAAGAGATTAAAATACTGGCTTTTAGAAAAAAAAGAAAAGCTTTTCTGGTTGTAGAGGGCAAGACAGTAAAATCTGACCTAAAACAAATAATTCATTTATACTACAGGAAAATGTGTATGTCAGCTACAACAACAGTGCTTCTCTCCAAGAAGTGTATCTCAACTTTCACAATTAGGTGTGTTGTCCCAAACAGGTCTTTAGTCTTTAGTTGCCAAAAACTGCAAAAGAACAGTAGTTTCATGGTCATATTTTAAATACAGATTCCTGCTTTCACTCCCTTAGTACAAAACAGGAGCCCACTTTTGGCCTTTTTCTGGTACCAGATGGTTTTCCCTCGTTGCACACAGGTACGGTGCTTCCCCTAGATTTGGCACACTGTAACTTTCACGTGCAGAAGAGCACAATCCACTGCGCTCCAGTTTCAAACAAGATGCAAATTTAAAAGGGGGAGAGTGTTAAAGATATACAGTGACTGAATGTAAAAAGTAACAAAAAAGGGGGGGACCGTGAGTTAGTCACCCACAGCTCAATAGCTTTTTTTAACTAAATCTATTGCTTCATCTCAATTTTTTTTATTAGTTCTATTACTTCACAAGGTTATACAATAGTCTTCCTTCTTTAGAGATTTACTTTGTGAAATCTCTTATAATCCTACAAGTCATAACTTCAACTCTATAACGGTAGTATTGGCTTCATAAATTAATAAAATACTAATATGAAGTCAACTGAGGAAATTACATGTCTTCATTTCATTTTTAAAATGTAAGCTTTTGTATTTATAAAGTAAAGCAAAGAAGCTAATTTTCTTTCATAATTCCCAAACAAGCTCTGAAGCAATTCTGAAAAAGAACCTACGAAGGTAGCTGAATGGATGGGAGCATATTTGGAACAAAAGTACAACTCCCCTAGGGAGCCAGCAGTTAGCATAATGGCTATGTCGCTGGACTCCCACGTAGTCGACCACGGTTCGTGTCCCGGTGGCTTCAAACTCACGCCGGGCGCGTGTGCGTGCGTGCCCAAGATCCCGAGAGGAGAATGTAGGAGAAGGGATTGCGGCGTGACCATCCCCCCTGGGAGGTGATTTCTCGCTTTCTGTCTCTATGTCTCTCTGTCTGTCTGGCGAGCGCACGCGCCCTACAGTGAAAATCTCTCAAAAAAAAAAAAGTACAACTCCCCTAGATGACCACTTTGAAGGAGTCATTGGAAAATAAATTTGAGAAGGCCAGCCCTGTAGTACAGTGGCTAAACACTGTACATTGGGAGCCAGAGCCTATATGGATGACCGCAGTTCGAGTTCCAGCCCAGTGACTTGAGAAACACACCAGGCACATGTGCGTGCATGCCCAAAATCCTGATGGAAAGGAGAAATGAAGGAAAGAAACTGAGGCATGACCCCATCCTAATGCAGGATATGCCTTCACTCTCTCTTTTCTTTCTTTCTCTCTCCTCCTGGCCAGCACACCTACTGACAATTAAAAAAAAAAAAAAAAGATACAAAATAAAAATGCAGTTTATAAACTAAACAACAAAGAATAGTAACCTACTTTAATTTTTTCACAGGTTTTAAGGATCATGCTTTTTTTTTTCCCCTTTATATATATAAAAATAAATCTTCAGGGCATATTATAAAAGATTCTAAAATATTTCCCTTAGAGTATAATCTTTTTTAGCCCTCAGAAAAGTAGCTATATGAAAAGACTTACAAAAAACACAAAAATTCTAGCATTAAAAAATATAAGGTATAGGGACCAGCAGTTAGTGTAATGGCTATGTCGCTGGACTCCCACGTAGTCGACCACAGTTCAAGTCTTGGACCTAGTGGCTTAAACTCACGCCGGACGTGTGTGCGTGAGTGCCCAAGATCCCAAGAGGAAAATGGAGAAGGGATTGTGGCATGGCCAACCCCCGTCCCTCTGGGGGGCGTGTGATTTCTCGCTTTCTTTCTCTCTGTCTCTGGCTGGCTGGCGAGCGCATGTGCCCTATAGCAAAAACCTCCCAAAAAAAAAATATATATATATATATATAAAGTATAGAACCAGCAAGTGGCATGGAGGTTAAGGTGACTGAATCCCACGTGGCCAACTGCACACTGGAGTCCCAGATGCAGAGGCTTGAAAAATATGCTGAGCACATGTACATGCCCAAAATCCTGAGAGGAGAATGGAGGAGAAGGGATTGCAGTGTGGCCATTCCCTTTAGGAGATAATTTATCATTTTCCATCTCTCTCTCTCTCTCTCTCTCTTTTCTTTT